CACTTATTTACTTAACTCACTTACTTACTTAACTCACTTATTTACTTAACTCACTTACTTACTTAACTCACTTATTTACTTAACTCACTTACTTTCCGGTACTTACTTCAAAATAAAAGAGAAAGATGTCATGAAAGTGTGGAGAAATCTTAAAATAAACACTGTAGAAGATAAAAACCAAATTGTAGTTTCTGAAAGAGCTTTTCTTTTTCTAATTTCACAACTTTACCATGTTTTGTTTTACAGGAAGGATCTCCAGGAGGCCTTGCTCCACTACGCCACAGACACCATGAGCTTCATCCACACAGTGAGGGAATTCTGTGAGACGTTCCAMAAGTGGATGCTGTGGAGGGAGACGGAGCTGGACATGATGAGGGACATCAAAGACAGAGTCGACAGGATCGACCTGAGCTTCAGCCACGTCACGCAGTCGCAGAGCACAGGAAAGGCTTTTTGGGAATTTGTGAAGAACAAGTTCCAGATAAACGTCGACAACAAGTACGCAGAGCTGGAGAAGGAGCTGACTGAGGTGGTCAACGACACGCTGGAAGGTCTGGAGAAGCTCGGCTGCTTCCTGGATGCAGTGGAGAGGCTGGCGGTCACCTCGCTGCACGTGTTCGCAGACAACCAGGTGCTGCGCCTGCCGGAGGAGGTCGGCCTCGACAACGTTCAGGTCACCGTCACGGCCGCGCGGCTCATCTGTCCTCTCCTCCTGGAGTTCAAGAGAGACGACGACGTCTTCTTCCTGCCGAAACGGCAGAACTTAGATGTGTTGGCGTATCAGCTGGACCGATACATTCAGACCAGCAAAACCATCTGTGAGAAGATGGAGAAAAGGTAACATCTGGTAGATCAGTACAAATTATTATCAATGTGAAGAAATGTCAACCGTTAAACAAATGTTATTGTTTTTCTCAGCTGTTTCAGTGAGCTTTTCTTGAAAAAGATTGAGGACATTGAGGTAAACGTCGATGGTTTGTCTGAAAATGACGCTCGGAGGATGCTTGATCACATCAATCAGCTTGATGATATCAGGTATGTTTCCTCAGATGTTTGTCTAAAACAAATGTAATGTTCAAAAATAAAACCTGTTCAGGGTTTTATGGGGCAGATTTGAATTTAGGGCCTCAGCTCTGTTGAGTTTACAGTCCTACCCCTGGCATCTTTTAATATTAGTGAATGTTTAAACATCATTCACAATGACATCATTTTTTTGCAGCACTGACGCCTTACAGGTAAAAGGTCCTGGTTTCAATCCCCGGTTCGGACCTGGGGTCTTTGTGTGGAGTTTGCACATTCTCATCTCATCGTGCTTGTGTGGGTTTTCTCCGGGTACTCCAGTTTCCCCCACCCCACAAAGCATTGACAATAGTTTGCTTTCAGGCCCAGGCCTCAAAACAACGATAAAGTTTTTTTTCTTCTGTGCATTTCCCCCACCACCACCACCTATCATGTTCTGCAAGTTTAGTGCTATTTCAGTAATTTGTATATCCAGAAACTCGTGCTAACTTTWGGTATTTCAGCAGTTTATATATTTGAGATATTTACCTTTTTGCTGTCTTTTTTTAATTGAAAATGAATGGAGCATCTTCATCAACCTTAAAACCTTTTAAAATGTTAATAACTATTTCTGTTTTACCTTTTGTTCTGGTTCTGCTAACGTCATTTCTTGGTGTATATTCAATACATTTTCTAATCTTTCAATCTTCCTAATTGCATTTCCCCCTTTTTTCCCCTCTTTTCCTATTTCCTCTTTACATAACAAAAAAGATCACTGATGATGAAGAAATTAAGACGCTAATATTAAGTTATTTCTTCTTCTGAAGTGATAAAAAATTGTTTATTTTTTGGTTTGACTACACTTTATATAATAAAGCTATAAGGAAATTATTTAACAAGGGATCTCTTATTTTCAGTAAATATCTCTTCCATTTTTAGCTACTTTTTAGGTAATTGCAGCTAGTTTGAGCTTTATTTCAGCTAAATTGACCTTTTTATGGGCACTTCAGCTTGTGACTACTTGTCAGCAAACATGATGTGTTTCTTTGTGCTAATTTCAGCTACCTTTTTAGGTTTTTTAATAGACTATTTTCAGCTTTCTTAGCTATTTCAAAAGAAATTGCAAGTTTTTGTACTTCTTTTCTCATTTATGGTTCATGCTGAAAGTGTTTTGTTGAAGTTCTTTCATCGACTTGTAGCTCTTTTGCCAATTTTAGCTACCGATTTGCTGTTTCATGATTTTTTAAACCTTTTTTATTGATTTTTTTCATCTTTGTTTCCCTACTATTAGCAAAATGTGGGCGGCTGTGGCAGAGTGGTTAGGGTTGCTGGTTTGATCCCCCGTTCCAGCAGTCTCAGTCGTTGTGTCCTTGGGCAAGATGGCAGCCACGCCTCTGTCAGTGCACCCCAGGGCGGCTGTGGCTACAATGTAGCTTAGCACCATTAGTGTGTGAATGTGTGTGTGTGTGCTTTGGGTCCACATAGAGCTTGATAAAGTGCTGCAGAAATTGTATTATTTACCAAAAGTCAGTTCAAATTGAACTCACATTAACAGCTTTGCTTTTAAACATTTTTAGCTTCTTCAGCTTTCAGTAAAAATCTTTCAGTTTACTTTTTTTAAACTCCACATCATATTAAAGACTGTTTGAACTGGTGTACATATATTTTATACATTTTAAAGTTGAATTTTCTTTATTTTTTATATTTTATACTTAATGCATCTTTACACCGAAGCAAATTCCTAGTCTGTGAATCCTGTTTGTTGACAGTGGCAATAAAACTGATTCTGATTCAGTTTAAGCATCAACACTGCATTTTCACAGTATTTTATCTAGGTAATTTTATAATCCTCTGCTGAAGGTGACAGCAGAGCAACAATTTAACCATCAGCACACAATAATTTGTGTTTAAAGCTCTGATATGAAAGGTGCTGGCTGATTTAACCTTGTATTTCTGTATTTGATATATTTTTTACCCCTTCTCTCTCTCAGAACGGACCCGTGCTTCAGGACGGTGTTTTTGTTCCAGGAGAAATCCTCCGATGACTTCATCAGAGAGTTCAGCGAGCGTCAGCCCCGGATGTTGGAGTTTCTGGACGGTTTGGAGAAGAACGCCGTTCAGTTGGACAAGATGTGCAAAGGAGCAAAGATCTCCAGCGTGGCGGGCAGCTCGGTGGGGGCGGTTGGAGGTGTGCTCTCCATCGTTGGCTTGGCACTGATGCCGGTTACAGCGGGGGCGTCCTTGGCTCTGACCATAACTGGACTTGGGATGGGGATCACCAGCGGCGTCAACAGCTTGGTCACCACTGCGACAGAGATCGGCGTGAACCACACGCATCAAAAGAAAGCCAGCGAGTTGTTCCAAAGCTTTATGGAAGATGTGACGAAACTACAGGAAGAAGTGAGCCGACAAACCGTTTCCAAACTGGAAACCGGAGCCTTCCAGGTGGCTGTGGGAGTGGGCAACGTGGTCTGTAAAGCTGGAACTKTTGGGAAAAGCATCGATTCAATCACGGATGCTGCCAGTAAAGTGGTGGCTCAGGAAGGGCAGGCGTTACGGAGCATACCCAGGGTGGCCTCAGACATCCCAGATGTGGGTCAGGCAGCAGCTAAAGGGGCTTTCATTGCATCAAAGTCGGTCAGAGCCGGTATGATAGCAGTCAACGCGCTCTTCGTCGGCATGGACATCTTCTTCATCTGTAAGGACAGCATGAGTCTGGCCAAAGGCAGCGAGACGCACGTCTCCCAGTTCATCCGAGCCAGAGCTGCTCTCTGGAGCTCAGAGATCGACTCGTGGAGGAACATCCACGACTCGCTGACTCAAGGTCTCGAAACGTCTGGGAAAAAGGAAGCCGTTCTCGAGAGCCCGTTTTATCTGAATACTGGGATGGAGATACTGGAAGAAGTAGAGGAGGACCTTTATTCTGAAGGTGTGGAAGAAAAACAGATTAGCAGATGTGTGATACAGTAATATAACAGTTTTTCAACAGTGGCCCTTTTTTAATGATCAGTTAAATGAAGCTTTTAGACAATTGATTCAACATCCACCGATTTATTCAACTGAAATTCATTCTCTGGTAATAAATAAATAAATAAATAAATACTGTATACATATGTCAAAGTTCTCATAAAATAAAAACACTGGCAAAAAATACTTAACAAATATAAAGTATTTCTATTTTGATTGTTGTTGCTGAAACATGTCTTGGTACATCTGTTTATTGTCTTGTTCTGGTCTCATTTCATTTTGTACTGAAGATCATTTTTATTCTAAATAATGCAGTTTACAGTACAATATATCTTTGACAAATACTTACTTTTTTGACTCTGCTGATGATTTTTTAAAGTCTCTTTGCTTTAAACTGTTGATTGCATCATCTTGATGTAGAAAAARGATTTAAATAAAAAAACATTTGTAAAAAATACTGCCTTTAAAAAATACTTTCTCTCATTACAGTGAAAATTTTGAAAATTTCAACAAAAACAACCGAAGCAATAAGTGAATAAACTGTTTCTTATATCTTAATATGTGTTTATGCTTAAAAGCTCAGGATTTTCCACTGACTTAAACATTTAAAACACACACATCTGTTTCTAATCACATCGAACATTTTAAATGATGGATATAAAATGCTAAATTCAGTTTTTGTATCCATATAAAACAAATTTATTTTACAGGAATTAATCTCTTAAATATTTCTTTGGATACTTGTTACACTTCATGATGTTTTACTTTGTTGTTTTGGACTTGACAATCACTTTTTCATCTAACTGTATTTTTACTGTATTTGTCTTTGCAAATTTAAGCCTCGTGTTTTTTTGTTGCTTTAACTTTGGATCATAATCTGGTATAAAACTTTAACTTTAGTTTTTCTTTTAGGCCTTTTTCCATTTATATACACAACAATCTGTTTATGCAAAAGTCTTAAACTTGTGCAGCTACATTCTTTAAACACCTCAGATGTTTTCTGGATTGTAGGTCACACACACACACACACACTTACACACGTTTGCTCTCGAACCCTGTGGGGACCTTCCATTGACTTCCATTACATTTTTTAGACTTTATAGCCTAACCCTGACCATTTACCCTAAAATTAATTTTAACGTTGGTTCTAAATCTGACCTCCCACGCGTAATTTGCATGTGGACCCGTGGGGACCGGGCACTGGTACCCACAATGCACTTCAGTCCCCACGAGGCTGATTTTTTTGGGAAAATTTACCCCATGTTGTAGGAAAAACCTGTCCACACACACACACACACACACACACACACACACGTGTTCAGCTCCAGGTGTTTCCTCATTCACTATGTGGAGACTGCATTTGCCACTAAATACATTTCAGTCATTTTTTCCCTCATAAAATTATACCGTGTACTTTTCAGTGACACTATAATTATATACACGTCGTTTGTTTTTCTTTCTGCAGGTGTAGAGGCAGACTACACGTGTTTTCTCAATGCTTCTCTCTCCTGTTAACTCCTTCTTTCCCTTTTAATCTTTCACCTTCCTCCTTTTCTTTGCCATCCCCGTGTCAGTTATATAAAAGCAATCATAAAAGAATTTCTAATAGTTTAAATATATAACAAGTGCCGCATCACGGTGAAAGCCATGATGCGGCACTTGTGAATGTAAATCTGTTGGGCCTAATCTTGACACTCAGACATTAATTCTGAGTTTCATACTGCCATATAGCCATGGTAATGAGCTTAGTGTGAAAACAAACAAACCACAGCAGGCTTAACAGTACCTGATCAGAATGCATGGGAGGATGTGGTGGAACTCAGTGGACTCGCCCAGACCAGATGAGTCCAGTTCGAGAACATGTGCTGGTCAGTATATCAACAGTGGGCTTAACTGTAAAAAGGCTGTTTGTGCCCGGCACTGCAGACAGTCTTGGGCTGAGCTGCACGTAACACTGATTACATTATTTTAACATTAATGATTTTCTCCCAAATGCATTTGGTGATTTAATGTAATGATATTATTTTAATGGTGTGAAATTAATCTTTTAAACTAAGGTGATGTCTCCAGACGGTTTCCTCAGGGAAGCAGCTCAGGGAGGTCAGCGTACCTCGACAAAGTCCATAAAGAATAAGAATGAGCTTTTATTATAAGAAAACTTAGTGAAAGTTTGTAACCGTCAACTCCTGGTTGCAAAAAAAAAAAAAGATATAAAGCTAGGGTTTTTGTTTTCATTATAAATCAAACTCTAATACCGCTTAACTGATAAAAGAAAAAGCCTCAGTAACTGTTATTTCTAACATGAGAAGACTTTTGACAATACTTTTAGTAAATGTCTTTGTTTTTGTGAATAAAAAAAAGTTTTACTTCAGGGCAGAATAAACAACAATTACAACTCTTTCTCCAACCTGTTGTCTTTATTGATGTCAAAATGAATTAAATTGTTTCTATAKGGATGTTGAAGAATAATTTGGTCAGTGAAGCAAACTGCACTCTTCAATTCTCTTCATCTGAAAAGTCGAGAAACAATAAAACAGAATTAATAAACAAAACATCAACTAATTGTTCAGTTACAGATACATACAACAAAGCCCTAATATCTACAAGTTTTAAGTTTTTCTTATATTTTGGACGATCTAAGAGTAAATCAATATATAATGTTAGTTCAAAACTAACAGTTAATATCTTAAATATATAATTTATTCACAACCATTCATCTTAATGCAGCCCCATACACAAACTGAAGATAAAGTTTAACAAATAAAAACACCCTTTACCTTCTTCTTCCTCATCCTCTTCATCTTCCTCTTCCTCCTCCTCTTCATCAGAGCTGAAGGTGCCTTCAGGCAGGCTGTACACTCGAATGACTTGCTGTTTAAAGGGAATAAAGGTGGTCAGCTGTGCGGACCCTCGGCCTGTGGTTCCTGTGAGACCTGTGCCGACTCACCTTGTTYGGGTCCTTCAGGATCAGGTACTTGCCCTCGTCCAGCTTGCGGCAGATGTCGATGACACAGCGGAGGATTCCCCAGGCGTTCTCCATGCTCAGGTTGATCTGGCTGGCGAACTCGTTGGGTTTGAACTGCTGGGTCCCCAGGATGACGTGACGAGACGAGTCCTTCACGTGGTACCGAGACACGTACCTGCGGAGCACACAACCCGTTACGATCCGGTCTCTGTTAGCTTTCGAACAGAACCCTGCCGGGTCGTGGTACCTACCCCAGTTTGAGGTACTCTGATCCGGCTAACATGGCGCAGCAGGTCCAACGAGCCAGTTTGTAGCTGTTGTTCTTCAGCTCCGTGGCCAGAACGGCTCCTCTCTGAGAGTCCAGCTTCTGACGCCAGTCCACTCCGTTACAATACTAATAATAAATAATTATAAAACAACACTTTTTACACTTCAAGTTGRGCAATCGTCGATCAAACAGTTCATTTTAATTTTTCTTGAAGGTGAACTTATTGAGTCATTTTAGGGCTGCAACTAACGATTGTTTTAGTTATCGATTTAATCTTATTCTGACGATTAATCGAGTGATCAGATATAAAAAAATTATGTTCTGCAGTAATTACTTCAGCTTATTTTATGAGAAATACAATTATTTAATAWTGTGTGGGGTTTATCTACCCTTGCAGATGACCCTGCTGCAAAGTAAAATTACACCAGTTGTGTTAATTAATGCATTTTAAACTCCATTTGTTTGCATTTATGTGTGTGAAGTTTGAGGAGGCATTAATTAAAGTCACTCTGTCACTGAATCATTTTAACCATCACAGAAACATTTTAATGCTGTAAATTTAATGTTATGGATTGAAAAACCGAATTTCTTTTTTTTTTGTGTAGAAATTTAACAAGTAAAATGTGTAATATAAACATTTGGGTGTTGAAATTGAGTTTTGTAGAGTTCACTTGTTAATTGTAACAAAAAAATCATATTTTTTAAGACTTATTAGGTTGATGCAGGGTTCCCATTTAGGCAATAAAAGATTTAGTCTCGACTGCTTAGTTATAAACAAACAAGACAGCAGTAATGAAGGCTAAAGTCATAAAAAGCAGCATAAAAATAATTAAAACAATCCAATTACCTTCTATAAATAATTTTAACAAATAAACAAATAAATGTGTTTCAGCTCAAGCTGTTAATCTGTTGCTGTGCTTTTATTTTTATCAGATAAACTTACAGTAAGTCTGGTTTATTTTATTTTATAACTATTAATATTATTATTATTATTTTTTTACAGATGATGAAAATCAGTTTTGTGAATAGAGAACTTCAATACCCCCCACAATTAAAGGACTTTCAAGGACAAGTGTAATTTTTGGCTGTTTTCACAAACTTTCAAGGGCCTTGAAATCATTTTTTCAAATTCACAAACTTTCAAGGATTTCAAGGACCCATGAGAACCCTGTATGCAACACAAATAACATTCTGGGCGGATGAAAGTGCGCTGATTATAACAGGGTGTATGTTTTTATGAAGCTTGGAGYCAGATAATTTGCCTCGAGGATTTTTTATAATCGAATGACCCGAGGAATCGTTTCAGCCCTAATTCATTTWAATTTTGTCCACTGATAAACCACTGAATCACTTCCCCGCCTCGTCTCTTACCCTCGAGTCCCACTCGTTGAGGGTCTTGATGTTAACAAAGGACACTTCTCCGTTAGCGCCAGTCATCACGCCGTCATGCTCACAGCGGACGATCAGGTCGATGTCCTCCCCCAGCTTCCAGTGGCGGTACCTGGACCCCKCAGAGACAGTTTTATCAGCCACACAGGAAGCAGGTCTCACATTCAGAGACACGGAGGACCGCTGGTGCTAACCTGTAAGCTACAGACGCCACCTCACTCTTATCCATGTCTTCCTCCACAAACGGGTTGGAGTTTGGGAACTTGTACCTCTCCCCACCCTGAATAATAGTAAACATATAAACATGAACAGGAAAGGCGAATCTGAATAGAGGAGATGTATGAACGGAGCTCACCATGCGTAAACACTGCTGGCTGAAGTTGTGGTTGATGTAAGTTGCCTCCATCGCCAGGTTGCGAGGAGAGTTGAAGGAGTTGCCCTCGTCCTGCGGAGGCTCGTTGGCCGTCTCGCTCACAGTGAGCAAATCTGAGAGGAACAATTAGATTTAGTTTCATTTATGAATAAATAAACAGGCCAGGTGTAATGCATTGAGCTGACTCAGCTGAATCACAGATCAGGGGTCAGATTTATAAAGGATTGCGTGGAAACCATACTAAAAATGAACGTACGGCCAAAAGGCAAAAATGGCGTACGCCAAAAAAATGATCAGATTTATAAAACCGTGTGTACGTATGTTTCTGTACCTTACCTTTACAGATCACAGCTGCACGTCGAGTTTGCGCACGAGGTCCCGCCTCAGGTTCTA